CTCCAGCCTCTCTCGGGCCCAGTCCAGCTTCTCAGCCACAGTGCCCCCATTTAGCTGGATCTCCATCAAGTGTGCCTTCTTCTGGCGCAGAGGAAGCAGACGCATCTGAGTGTGGGCAATTATGCGGATGACCTGGCAGTACTTCTTCATGCTGTTAAAGTCCTTCTCCAGCTGTTTCTTGCCCATGTCATCCTGCCATTTCTTACACTATTTGGTGAAGGCCTTCTTCTTAGATTTGTGTCAGTTCTTGTAGAACCGCCTTTTACACTCATCACTGATGTGCTCAGCAAATACTGTCTTGAAGGTGCGGAGACCTCGTGGGGTTTCGACATATCCCACGATGCCCACAACTACCATAGGTGGTGTTTCCACAATGGTTACAGCCTCCACGACTTCTTTCTTGTTTACCTTGGATCCTGGTCTGTCAACCTCCCGGACAATGTGGGTCATGCCAGCCTTGTAGCCTAGAAAGGCTGTGAGGTGAACAGGCTTGGAAGGGTCATCCTTGGGGAAGCTCTTCACTTTCCCACGATGTCTGCTGCTGCGCTTCCGCGGCAAGAAGCCCAAGGACCCATGCCTGGGAGCAGAGAACTTCCTGTGAGACATCTCTCGTCACAGGCCGCCGCCGATAGAGCTACAGCAACTCTTTTATCTCTCCTTTTTGTTTCAGCTATTGACAAATTATTATAGCATATACTATTTCCAATGGTAAAAGGCAAGGGTGGGGGGAACGTAAACAAAGACCTTAGTGAGACTTGATACTGGTTTTTACCCAGCCCATGGGAAACATGATAGTAAACACCCAGCCACAGTTTTTCCCATCTCCAGGCAAGAAAACCACCATTCTTTACCCTGCGTCAGTTTCCAGAGAAAAAGAACCACCTCCCAGGAAAGAAGGCTTCCATCAGCTGAGGACAAGACTCCAGAGGAGAAGGTGGCTGTCTAACATGCACAGTCCCTGGAAGTTAAGTAGATCTCCCTTTACAGTGGACTTGAGTAGGACCTCAGCAACTTCATTGCCATCTAACTCCCATAGGGCTCAAGGTCATACAAGTCTCATATTAAGGTCCCTTCTCCCAGGGACAGCTTCTCTCCAAGACTTAAAACATTTCAAAACTCTCCTGGGGCATCCACGCTCATCTAAGTGGTTTATCATTTCATTTACCAGTGAGAAGTCTGAGACCCTTGAAACCACTGTATCTACTTGTTCTCCTACACCTGTAGTTAATGTGCACACTACGCCCTGTAGGATAGCAGCCTCACCTTGTGGGTGTCCTTTCAAGTTGGCAAGAAGAAATTCCATTCCGTTGTTTATCAGACATCAGTTTGGGGATGGTGTGTTGTGTGGCAGGCCTAATAGGTTCCATGGTCATGAGATCATCATTCCATGTCTTCTGCCATAACATTGATTCCTTTGTTCAGGTGAGCTGATTGTGAGAGCCCATGGCAGTAGATACTTTGTGAGCCCTCAGTGATGCTCTCCAAGGCTCAGAATCTCAGTCCTTTATGTAGTATGAGACAGTCTTGTCAGAATGAATTACTTTTCCCTTTAGTGTAGAAAGAGAAGCTTGGTCTTCTTGAGAAATAGTTCTTGGTAGAGATGCAGCACTGGTTTGGGTACCAATAGGCTTGGTATCAGTAACACCAGCAGCTTGGTCAGCTTTTATGAATGAGAGAGAACCCATGTTTTTGGGCTCATCCAAAGCCCTCTTCTTTCCTACCGTGTCTCCATCATTCAAAGTCCTATTCATTGCATAAGCCTGAAGTGTCTGAGGCTAGAGGCAGGTTGAGATCATGTCCACATAGTTCTTTAGTGTATTAGCAGCATCACATGGCACAGAGTTATGTACGTTTTATGTTGGCTGTTAGGAGCTACCCAAATATAGACCTGTTTATCCCTGGTCTTTCAGTATCGCTCATTCCATGTTTCTCAACAACCAACTAAATCCTTCGTTACTGTCTATTAGCTTATGTATTTCCAGTTGGCTAAGTTATTCATCATTGCATACAGTTCTCAAAATATCTACCTCTATCTACTACTACCCATTCCAACAAAACGACGAAAATAGATTACTGCCTGAAGGAAAGTCCGCTTGCCGTTCAGTTTCCCTTTGTCACGTGACTAGCAGAGCGGCAAGCAGTCCTTTCCCTGCTTCCCCATAAGTATCAGGCTGACTAATCATGAATCAAGCTCAGGCATCTGTCTCCTCCAGATCCTTCTCTGAGAGCCAAGGGAGGGGTACTAATGAAACCTTGGCAGGTGAAATGAGAATAGGTGGTACTCACCTGACATTTGCCCGAGGCCCATGATGGATTTATTTCCACTTTGTAATGGATTTGCTGCTGGACCTAAATTTACTACTTACTATGGTGGCATCCAGCTCAGACTGGCAAGGTATGACGGACTGGTCACTTGATATTATGTTAATAGATGCTCAAATTCTCCCACAGTCCAACAGCATGCGCCTGTGTTTTAAAATAGTATCTAGTGTTCTCTGCTAGGCAGCATGGTCTTGTTTCAGGACTCCTGGGTACAATTCTTTTATTGAAGCTTTTCAGAAAGAGTCCCAAGTAGTACTCTCTTCTAGATAGCTTCAACACCATTGATTCTGCAGGCTCGGTAGCCCAAACGGTAGTGCTGCTTGCTAAACAGCCTGAATTGCTAAAACACACACTCTTGTTCATAGGTTCACTTTACAAAAGCAGTCTTCTTCATTATCCATAAATAGGTCCCAGTGGTACTCCCATGTGCAATAAACATATGAAGGAAAGCATCTCTTTCTAACGTTAAAATGTAATCTTGGGTGAAGATGTTACAGCATGCCTTCCAACGCTGAGATCTATTTTGCAAAATCACAAACATAACAGGGTCCTGAAACTGTGTACGGCTTGTCTTGTTTCACCTGGGACGTAAGTGTCTCGTGAAGGCAGGCGTGGGCTGCCTTTGTTCTCAGTCATATCTAATTAGCAGTGCTGTGATACAGAGAGGATTCTCACAGGCTGGGGCCGACTGTTTGATGAACACCATCGCCCAGTCCAGGTGAGTGTGAACGCCCGATGCGCATTTCTGGTGGCTCCTGGAAACAATGTGTCCGTCAGCTCGGTGGCATCACACTCGCTCAGGAGAGTGCCATTCTGCACTAACAAGGAGGCCGCATTTGGCACGCCAGCTGTGACTAGTTAAGTTTTCATTAGCCGACTGTCGTCCTGTCATGCACCATAAGTTTTCGCAGGAACCAGACTGGTGCGGTAATTGGGGATGTAATGAAGATTACCATCCCGGCACCGCTTACATTTTTAATCTTCCACTGTCTTCAAAAGTGCCATTGTTATCTATTATTTTTGTCAAAATGGAGACGGTCTCAGGGGCTTCTCTGATACCGTGGCTTTTGCACAAAGGTAAATGAAATACGCTAACCCTGAATGTGCGTTCACAGATAGAGGAGGTGAATACTGGGTGAGTCCTTACCCTCAAGGAACGGAAATGGACAAAGACCAAGACTTCATTTTCTTACGTGATATCAAATGTCTCTTCTCTAACAGGGGTGAGTGAGAGACTTTGAATCCTAAGTATTAGAATCAGTAAAGACAGATTCGTCAGTCCTTGAAATACTAGGGCTTATTCTTTTGCAAAGAGTAAAGTTTCCCCCAGGAATTTGTAGTAGGTCGTTAGGGGAGGAATCAGCCTATTTGCTTGCCAATTGGTATTTACAACTCTTTTCCTATGGATTTCTGGCCATAACTTCAGCTAGCCTATAACCTCAGAAATTCTATGGATTTCTGGCCAAAGTTCAGTTGCTGAGTTTTATATACAAGCATAAACCTCCAAATGAAAAATAGACGAGGGTATGTGATTTTTCCATGAAGGCATCTGCTTATACACTCAGGTTTCATTTCCCATCACACAAGTTTGTCAATAGGATTTCTGCACTCACTCGTTAAAAATGTAAAGTTGTCTCTCCATTTCTAAGTTCCCACACTTTGTAACTGGATGCACGCTGTAGTCACCACAAATCTGCTGCTAGCACTGAAGCAAATAAGCCCTCCCTTTCAAGGATGATTTACAAAGAAGACAAAATAATCAGACTTGCACTTCATTCTATATAACGCAGGTCACAAGAAACTCTGGTGGGCTCTCCAGAGGGCATTGGAAGGCTCACGTCACATGCAGTACTTAGCCACTTCTTGTCTGGCCCCTGGATTTTCCACAGATTAAGTGGTCTGGAATGTCAGTTTTAATTCTACCTAAACCACTGACTAAATTTGGGAAATGGTGGGACAAGCTTGAAACCACATGGTGTTTCCTGAAGTATAAAATAAGATGAAAAAAATGCAGAGTTAAACACATGATTGTACAAGATTTCTTATTGGTTGCCTAGAATTTTGACAACTGGGTGTCATATCAGTTGCTTTTTGAGATCATAAAATACATTTGAATGCCTGTTTGGTTCCTTCTCATAAAAGTGCAAAGCTTGTTCAGTAGGCGTCTCTGTGACAAAGCAAATGTCCTCTATCTGCACTATTCCACGAGAAAACCACAAGTCACATGGGCTGCTGAGCGCATGCAAGGCATGTAATGTAGCGAGTGTGACTGGCACACTAAAGTACTGTTTTACTTTTAAAAAATTGCATGTGTGCATTTTCTTTCATGTGCACACAAGCGTGTGTGTGTGTGTGTGTGTGTGTGTGTGTGTGTTGGGGAGGGAGTGAATTGTATACATATGAATGTCAGAGTTCAATCTTGAATGTCATTTCTTAGGTACCATCCACCTTGGTATTTAGGGTGTGTGTGTGCACACACACCAGCTAGTATGCCTCAGGGACCCACCTGACTCTACTAGTGCAGTGCAAGGATTACAAGCACATACTTCCAAAGCCAGTTGTTTTTTTTTTTTTTAACATGGTTTCTGGGGATCAAGCTAAGGTTCTTATGCTCACATAGCAAGCACTGTACTGACTGGGCTGTAAAAGCAAATCTCTTTATTTTATTTCAGAATCATTAAGTCATACAGTAGAATAGGAAGTTATCACTCTGGGATGTACAGGTGCCTCATTGGTTTATATTTTGAAAATCTTTTTGCTTGTCCTAAGTTCTTAATAAGAACCTGGATCATTCAGTGATAATTCTCAGAGAGGAAGAATAACGACATAAAATACAGAGTCCACCTTCAATGTTTTACAGGACAAACCAGAAAGATAACACTTTAGAAAGATAAAAGCTAAGCAACATTCATGAAATCATAATAAATATTACTAGGAGGAGAAACACAACAGCAAAATGGTGCTGTTGCAACCAAACAGGATTGCTAAGGAAGGAGCAAAGTGTATTCAGAAGAACTTTCATGTGTTGAACAAGAAAACTGGGACAATGACTAAGTGGGAAGCAAGAGCACTAAATCACATGATCAGCTAAAAGTCAGGGCATTGGGAAAACAGAGAGTAAGAAATAGTGTCACTTTAAGGAAATGTTCAACATTCTTAGTCATCAGGGAAATGCAAATCAAAACAACTCTGAGATTCCAACTTATACCAGACATAATGACTAAGATCAAAAAGATCTATGATAGCTTATGCTAAAGAGGATGTGGAGTGAGGGGAACACTCCTCCATTGCTGGTGGGAGTATAAACATATACAGCCACTTTGGAAGTCAGTATGGTGATTTCTCAGAAAATTGGGAATCAATCTGCCTCAAGACCCAGCAATACTTCTCTCGGGCATATACTCAAATGATTCTCAATCATACTACAAGGACATTTTCTCTAATATGTTCATAGCATTATTTGTAATAGCCAGAACCTGGAAAGAATCTAGATGTCCCTCAACTGAAGAATAGATAAAGAAAATGTGATACATTTACACAATGGAGTTGTACTCAGTGGTAAAAAGTAATGACATCTTGAAATTTACATGCAAATGTATAGAACTAGAAAAAAAAATGTAGGGATAAGTCCCACCCCTTAGGGGGCGTGCTCGCCTCAGGCTAAAGTTTGCCTTTAAGTTTGGCAAGCCTGCTCCCAGCCCTCGCTTCTGCTTTCCTGGTCTCCGCGAGAACGGTGGTTCTGTAAGTCTATTCCTCCATTAAAGCTGTCTATATTTTGACAATCTGTCTGCATTCGCTTACGCCATTACAAAAAAAAAAAAAAAATCCTGAGTGAGGTGCCAATTCCCAGAAAGACAAACAGTATATACTCACTTATAAGTGGGTATTAGATGTAAAGCAAAGGATAACTAGATCATTACCTCAGAGAAGCTAGGTAACAAGGAGAACCCTAAGAGAAACATACATGGATCCCCCTGGGAAAGGGAAATAGACAAGGTGTTCTGGAGCATGGTAGTGGGGGAGAAAGAAGGGCAGAAGGAGAGGAGGAGGGTAAGAGTAGAAGGGAGAGAAGAACATGAGGGACCTAGATGGTCGAGATGGGGGAAGGACAGAGAGGGAGAGCAAGGAAAGAGATATGTTGCTTGAGGAAGCCACTGTGGGAATAGCAAGAAACCTGGCACTAGGAAAATCTCCAGGAATCCACAAGGATGACACCAACTAAGACCCTAAGCAATAATGGAGACGGTGCCGAACTTGTCTTCCCTTGTAATCAGATTGATACCTAACTTAATTGTCATCACAGAACCTTATCCAGCAACTGATGGAAGCAGAAGCAGAGATCCACAGTTAGCACTGAGATGAGCACCCAAAGTCCAGTGGAAGAGAGGGAGGAGCAATTAATTATATGAGCAAAGGGGTCAAGATCATGAAGGGGATGCCCATTGAAACAGCTTAACGGAGGTAATGGGAGCTCACTTACTCTAGGTTGACGGGGGGGGGGGGGACAGCATAGGCCCAAACTAGGCCCTCTGAATATAGTTGACAGTTGTATGGCTAGGGCAGTCTATGGGGCCACTGGCAGTGAGACCAGAATTTATCCTTATTGCTTGTACTGGCTTTTTAGAACCCATTCTCTTTGGAGGGATACCTTGCTCAGCCTAGATATAGTGGGGAAAATCCTGCCTCAAAATGTTAGACTTTGTTGACTCCCCATGGGAAGCTTTACCCTCTCTGAGGAGTGGGTAAGGGGTGGAATAGGGGAACGATGGAGGAAGCAGGAGGAGAAGTGGGTGTGGGAACTGGGATTGGTATGTAAAATGAGAAAAGATTGTTTTTTAAAACAAATTAATTGATTAAAAAAAGAAATAGTGTCCCACTGGAACAAATGCCGGCCTGGAAATGTCCCTTTTTCAGCTATCCTATTTGTCCCCCCACACATGAACGAATTAAATCATCCCATCTGCAGCTTGCATGTGATATAACTGAAGAATCACACATGAAGGAAAAATCTTAAAAGGTTTCTTTTTTGCTTTCAACTTGTCTTTCAACAAGACCTACCCACAACTACAAAACATCATTAAATTGCCTATTCCTTAACCAAAAGAGGATTCGAGCTCATTTGGCAGGCAAACGTTACATGTTTTGCTGAGGATAATACAATGTATTAAGTCTAAATTAAGAAGGCATGCTTTCTATCTTTTCCAAAATACTGCCAATCATTTGTACTGGAGAAAGAGTCCCAGAGTTTAAAGTGCAGGCCCTGTTAGTTTTCACTGACTGTCAAACTGATCAGCTAAGTCATGATTCTACCATGTGCAGATGGGTATCTGAACCTCAGAAAGTATTCTCCTTGAGATTTAGTTCATTGTACTCAGGTTGAGGTACTTCCCAAATTAGGTGGACAATCTCTGCAACTAAAATTATTCAATTCGGGAAGAAGTCCATTTCCAGGAGCTAGCTATTTCTGCTTATTTTGGGGGCTTGTTCAATTAATCAGCTCAACTTAGACAATTGTATCATATGTTGTCTCCATTTGTATCCCCAGAGATGCAGACATGGCTAAGATTGGATTCTGGTTCTCACTAGAACCCACCTAAATCAATCCTCTGAAAACTCTTAAGACCAAAGTGATTACCCAGCCATATTCTTGAGACATTGCAGATTATGCCCCAAGCCTGACACGTGCTGGAAGGCAATGTTTTATCAGCTGGAATAATCGGATCACAGAAGAGCTCTTACAGAACTGTCGACGTCTCTTAAAGAACTTTGACTTGTCTCAAATGCTTTCCCCCATTTCTAAAACTTATACAAGTAAAATCTGTGGTCCAGGTCAGGAGACCAACAGGAATGCAGAGGGAATTCAAGGGAATGTGGTAAGGGAGGGTAGAGAATGCAGCTTTAGGATCTCTCTGTATTGGGGAATGTGCCTAAATGTGAATCTTTTGGCCAGAGGCATATGGCAATGTAAGCCAAATTCATTAGTGAATTCCAAAGGTAGGGGAAATGTCTCTGTTTTATATTGAATGATGTTTGAAACAAATGGGCCATCAGCCAGGGGTGTGGACATCCCTTTTACTACAAACCTTTCCCTTTTAATGACATATTTTGTAATGGGATTTGACGTGTAATGCAAGCATCATTCCCAATGCATGTATTACCCATCTCAGTCACTAACAATACTAAAATTAGTTTCTCTGTTTTTCCCATTTTAAATCTGTACTGTCTTACCAATAGCCACCCACTGATTTTCAAATGTTAACGATATGTGTTGGCTGACTGTATAATATCAATTTTCATTTTTAGTACCTAGGGACATTTTCATCGGAGTGTAGATTGCTCAAAAATACTTGATGGACAATAAAACTAGATGTCTACACATAAGATTTGGCAAGCTTTTCTTGAATGCAAAAAACAATGCAGATGGAAAATTTTAAGTTCTATTTGATTCGTTTAAGAAAACAGGGTAGTGGAATAGTTTACACATAAATTTAGGATGTTCGTAGTCTTGCATTTGTTTGTTTATTTATTTTGGATTTTTGATCTAGTTCTATGGACCAAGCTGGCCTCAGACTTTGACTTCTGTCTCCCAGCTGATGGAATTATGGGGGTGTACCATCTTTCTTGCTCCAGAATGTTCATATTCTGATTCAAATTTTGAATGAATGCTTTGAGGAGACAAAACCCTAAGTTATAAATTACTGGGTTGATATTCTTATGATTTTATTCAAGAACATAATTAGCAGGGATTACTTATCCGTAATAAGAGTGGAATCTATTGTAATACCTTCCTACATGGATGGAATGTATCTTGATCCAGTTTCTCTCCCATAACCTCACTTCCCTCCTACATTTGCTGATCCCTTTTCTCTTCCAAACAGCCTCCCTTTCACTTTCAGATCAAGTTTTTCATATGAGAAACAATCAGGGTTGCTTACAGGAGCTTGGGTACTTTACCAAAGGCCCTGTTGCTGGAAGAAATATCTCTCTTCCCCAGCTATCACTGATTTCTGAAAGATCCTAAGGATGCAACAAAGGCACTGAGTCTTTCTCTACTCCATTTTGTCCATATAGTCATACACAATCTTGTACAACTAACCACAGTTGCTATCAAAGAACACAAGTTTTGAAAATAGTTTGTATTGAACTATATATTCTTGCACAAGGGCCATAATTTTGTAAGAAAATAAAGTAAACTGATATTACTATGTAGCCCTGGCTGGCCTGGAACTCACAGGAATTCACTAGTTTCTCTGCCTCCTGAGTGCTGGCATATAGTAGGAGGAGAGCACTCATTCAGTTCCTGGCTGCCTGGCTAGCTTAACCCCAAAATAATCACATAGAAACTGTATTATTTAAATCATTGCTTGACCCATTAGCTCTTGCTTCTTATTGACTAACTCTTACATTTTAATTTAACCCATCTCATTTAATCTGTGTATTACCATGAGGTCGTGGCGTACCAGCAAAGTTTCAGCAAGTCTATCTCCAGCTGTGGTGGCTCCATGGCTTCTCTCTGACTCTGCCTTTTTCCTCCTAACATTCAGTTCCATATTCTCCACCTTCTGCCTTATCAACAGGCCAAGGCAGTTTCTTTATTCATTAACCAAAAAAGTAACATACAGACAAAAGGACCTCCCACACCATTTCCCTTTTCTGTTTAAACTAAAAGCAAGGCTTTAACATAGTAAAATTCTATGAAGAATTACAGTTACAACATTTATATCTACTCTATCTTTTATCATAACTAAGGAAAACTATAACTATAAATTCTTCAACTTCATCAAAGACTCCAGAAGTATATAATATTACCTAAGTAATCAGTAAGCACATTATAAGCAACTTTTATAACTCTAGAATTGACAGAGACATTTCGCTGCCTGGGCAGTCACCCAAAGTTCTTTTGTACCATTGGGGCATCCATCTTTAGCCTACAGGCCCATAGTATTCAGCAGACTTTTTCATGAAGCAGGAAATTTCAAAGGCAGATTTGCCTATATTGGTAGATTGACAGTCACTTTCTTCTCTATCCTGCAGATTGTCTCGCAGACTCTTTCATGAAGTAGGAACCCCAAAGGATCATTTCACCTTTAGGCAAGTTCAGAAATCATTTCTCTGTGGATCCTTGTCCAGTTCATCTAACAAACTCCATAAGAAGCCTCTTTGATGCTCATCTTCCTCTTGAAGTAGATTGGTGCTGCCAGGAACAGATTGTGTCACTGTCATGTAAAGTCTTAAATTTTTAAAACATTCAAATGCCATTTTCCAAAGGTCTCTCAAAGATTTGAAGAATACCTATCTAACTGAAGTGTATCTCTATACATCTAGAAAATCTAACTAACATGACTATAAGTTTGACTATTATAGGTGATTATCTATTAACCTATATTTATTAATTATGCATTATTTTGTAAATGAACTACACAATCACAATACCTTAATCAAGATCAGAATATACGTATAACAAAACATTACATTTGTGTCAATAAACCAAGATCTATACCAATGTAAAACTCTATAGCATATCCCCTTCAAATGTAGACAAACATATATACACACTATTTGAAAATATGGGTGTATTTTTTTCCATACTGCTTCCTGCTGATTTCAGGTCTTTTATGATGTATCCTGTGTGCTAGGTTCAGTCACCAGTTGGACAAGGTAATTTTTTAAGGGTGTTCATTGTGACCTTTCAGGGGGTCTTTTTCCATCAAACCACATCAGTCTGGAAGCAATCCACAGGTTATCATCCTCTGTGGAAACAAAAGAAGAACCTCTTTTCCAAAGCAGCATATCCTTAGACCCAAATTTGGAAGTCATGATACCTTTATAATATACATGCTGGTTTAGCTTAGCAGCCCATTACAATGAAATGTCTCTCTGTACTTAGCTCCTTCACAGTCAAAAGATTCAAAGAAAACACAAAAATGCACATTATCCAGACTCTCTGTGAATTTTCAATTTTCAATTGGCTTATTTTTCTTTACTCCTTTTAATCTATGACTATCTGTACTCTGTCTCCTTAAAGACTTTTATGCCTCTCTATACTCTTTTTCTTTTCTCTCCCAATCCGATGTACATTTATCCAATAATATGACTCATCTGGATTTGTCTTTATTGCATATCTGAAATTATTTTCTGACCAGAAGTGCTTCTTAAAATGCTAAATGCTTAAGAATCTAAGCTGTGACATTACATGACATTACATGACTGTACTACTTACAATACTTCCTGCTTGCTGTGCCCATTGCAACTTGACAGAGCTGCTCTCTGCTCCTGAGAGCCACACACACCACCCCACTTCCAGGCATACATCTGGTCCACATTGCCATTAAGCAAGTCATAGTATGCTTCTCACAAACTCCATCCAAATACTTAGTCTCCCGAAAGAGCCAGAGGTTGCACTGGCAGCACGTCCCAGAAAGTCTGCATTTCAAAACAGCAGCACAGCTTTTTTTCTGCTGCTGCTGCTGAGTCAGGAAAACCTCTCTTAAAAGAGTTGTAGCATGCCACCAGCAAACAGCAAGAAGCTGTGTTAAACTCTATAATTTTTTTGTCTAGAATTCCTTTTCAAGCCCTTAGGTTTTATGTGAATTTAGTTGGCAATGTGGGCACCAATCTCATGTTGGGCACCAGATGAAGAAGGACACTTAAAAGAAATCCCACACTAGCTCAGAATTGAGAATAATAGATGGTTATTTATTTAGGGGTAGACTCACAAATTAGAATCCTCTGTTGGAATGGAGAACAGCAACCAAATCCTGCAACTGGAAAAGAGGCTGGACACAGGCTTTTACATCAACATAAATAGTATAAGGGGCCACTCCCCAGTGGGCAAGTAACTTAAAGGCTAGTAGCTGTAGGATTTCCTACAGTACTGCCATTAATGGTGTACACTATCACACCTGGCCTCAGAAAACTCTTTAAAGGGACCAGGCATCTAGCTTTACTTACCCTGTATTTCAATGTTATAACGTATTAAAAGATATGATTAACCACACAGATACTATGAAAATCAATTCTTAGATATAAAGACTTTGTTCCTTTATAGGCATAAAAACTTACATTAAAATGATACAGTAGAGGTAATGGAGTTCTATTACCATTATCTGCCTTCAACAGTCCCTAAAAGGATGTCTAGGACTCAAAGATATTTGGGCAGAATAGTCACCTTCAACAGATACTTCACCAAGACGATCTATAGGACTGGGAAGTTCATGGTTCTTCACATTCTACATGGAGGGTGATCTATTTGATATGCTAGAGTTTGAGAAGATGAGTACCCAAACCCTCAGTTTGACATTGGTGTCCAAAGCCAAGTCATAGAAATCAGAAGTGACACAGGGGAAGGCAACATGGAAGCTGACGCTGGAGAGCATGCCTTCCATATGCCACGACATCAGCTTCTAAGTTTGAACTTCAGATTTAATCAGACTGGAAACCTACACATCTGATCATCAGATCAACGGCCTTTACTTCAAATGGACAAAGGACAGAAGAGGATGTATTCTATTCTCTGCAGACAGGCAGATCTCAAGGACAAATGGCCAGTTACTTCATCCAAATTCACCAGTCGGATAAGGTAGGCATTTCTCCTTCCTTGGAGAACTAAAGATTAAAAGGGGGAGAAAAGGGCTAAAATTATTTTAATAGAGGATTCTTTCATATGAAAGAAAGTAGCAGGAATTGGAAAATCACCCCCAATGAATTCCAATGCAGACTCCCCAATCTCTTTTACTGAAGTATTGTAAATAACATCAATGAATGAAAACAAGTAAAGTAAGATTACTAAATCCCAATTAATAAGTCATTCACGTGTGACTTTCATATTGAAAGTGGAATCTGAGGGCAGGAGAGACAGCTCAGTAGTAAAAAGTACTTTGTGCTCTTGCAGAGGACCTGAGTGTGGGTCTCAGTACCAATGTCAGAAGCTAATAACTGCCTAAAAACACAGCTCAAGGAGAATCCAATGATCTTTTGTCTTTTTCAGGCACCAGCACACATGACACATATTCGCACAGACATGTAAGTAAAATATAAATAAGTAAATATATTTTAGTAGAATTTTGGGGATGTAGTCCAGGAGTAGAGTGTTAGACCAGCATACATGAGGTCCTAGTATCAGTTCCCAGACTCAGAAAAATAATGATAATGATAATATCAACTTGGAATGGAATTTATGGCTCACTAAGTAAACTTACCCAGCACACACAGGGCCTGGGTTCAATCTTAGCACAATCAAAAATAAATACGCAAAGTAAGATCATAGCATTTTACATGAATCTCTTTCTCCTTGCTAATGTTTTTATTAAATGGTTAATGGTGGGGTGGTTATACAAGAATGTGAATGTTCTTAATTTCAAAGAAATATGCACTTTAAATTTTAAAACTGATAAATTTTATGCTTTGTGCATGGTACTACTTCAGTAAAAATAACTTTAAAAATAAATGAAATGAAAAATGATTAATAAACAAACAGAACTGTCATAATTCTACTGACTAAACATTTAAAAAATACCCCAGCTTCAAAAAACAATAACTGTAAAAGCATTAAATGGAAAAGTGATATTCTAATGATAATCTTGTGTATACCTTGGCTTGTGCTGGATATTTGTTAAAACATTATTCTGAAAGTTTCTGCAAGATCACTTCTGGATAAGATAAACATTTAAATTGGTGGAATTTGGTCAAGGCAGATTGTCCTCCAAAATGGTGAATGGCCTTGTCCAATCGGTCAGAATTAAATAGAAAAAAAAGGTTGCCCATGCCCCTCTATGAGGGAATTCTCCAGCAGAAAGACTTTAGACACAACTATAACCTCTGTTCATCATGGTTCCATAGCAGACTGTCTTTGAAAGAGAACTGCAGTTCTGTTGGTCTTACAACCTTTTGGTTTTCACCATCATATGTGTGACTCACCGAGCCTCCATAATCAGTTAAACAATTCCTTAATGTAAGTGAATAAAATATGAAAGCCATTACATATTGCATTGGTTCTGTTTCACCAAAGAACACCAACAAATAACATGTACATGTGTGTATAGATAGACACAGATTAAAAACACACTTGATAGTTTAGGCATAGATTCTGTTTTACATTGTGTGTGTGTGTGTGTGTGTGTGTTTGTGTGTGTATACATATTTCTGGGTAACAATAAGTAATTGAAAAAGAAAGCATAGATTTGAGAAAGAGCTTGAAGGGTTTGGAGGGGAGAAAATGAAGGGAAAATAAATGTATAATTATTGTAATTATTATTATAATCTTAAAAAGAAAAAAAGCGGAAGGAAAGAAGGTTTTGTTTTATTTAACTCACAGTTTGAGTGAACAGTCATTCCCTGAAGGAAGTCATGGCAACAGGAACTCGAGGCAGCTTGTCTTAGTGCATCTGCAATCAGGAAGCAGACAATGATGAATGCTCAATTACTTCCATTTTTTATGCAATCTGGGACCCACGCACAGTGAATGGTGCTGTCCTCCTTAAGGTTGGGTCTTCCACTTCAGTTAACCCAGTCAAGCAGGTATGCTCAGAGCAAATTTAATCTAAATAATTCTTCACAATTTGCTCAGTAGTTTGACGTCTAGGTGACTCTAGATTCTGTCAGGTTGAAAATAACCTTAATGTCATCCTGAATATAAATTAAGCTTGGTTTGCAAAAAATGTAGAGACTTGCAATAAACATGTTTTGCCTTAATAAGGAACTGTCCAACCTATTGTGAAATGTCTGAGGAAATTTAATTCCAAAGGCTACCCATCTTTAATTACCTTAATCAAATTTCTAGGTATGTTATTTACATATACAATGTGCCATTTTAAGTGTATGGATTAATTATGACCAACAAATTTTGACAGATACACTCATATAACTGCTATAATCAAGATACAAAATGCATTAAATATAAAATTCTTCTATGATCGTTACAGTTAGCTTCATCTCATCACTGATATGTCTAGATTAATCTCATTCCCTTTTTCTAGAATTTCACAGAAATGGACTCCTACACAAGCACCCCTTTTGAATCTAGCTTCTTTCATTCAGCATGGCTTTTGTCATACAGCTACATTATTCCATTTGTCAGTAGCTCATGTATTTTTTTACATTTATTCCTACTCCATAAAATCAATATAACAAAGTCTGTGCATACAATTACCTTCTCATAGAAATCTGGGTCACTGCCAGATTGGCCTATTACTCCTTTGTTTGTATGTTAACCTTTGTATACTGTCTTAATTAAGTTTCTATTACTCTGATAAAATACCACTACCAAAGGCAACTTGGTGAAACAGGTCCCCAGACCTTAGCACAACTGACATCACATCAAAGGCACCATTCTGACCTTAAATGTCCTAGGCCACAACATCGGTCAGAACTCAAATAAATACCTAATCCGTCAAAGACCTAGTCCATGGTTCCAGGATCAAGGAAAGTCCTTAAATGTACTAAGCTTTCTTTTGTGCTTCTGTAGTTTCATATATTGCTAACTGTGCTTGTTAAATGAAGTGTGTCATCCAGGATATGATTTTTGTGCATAAAAGACAAAAAAGATGGTGAAGCTTAAGCAGCATGATGTGAGCAAATTCCCCTTGCATGCTAGAGCCAGCAATACAAACTTTCTATTCTGCTTTAGGAGTTCCCGTGCGTGTTCTTTGGTGGAGTTATCACACAACATTGGGAAGGAAAGGGTTTATTTTAGCTTACAGTTTTACATCACGGTCCAGCACTGAAGGAAGTCAGGTCAGAAACTCAAACAGGGCAGGAACCTGGAGGCAGAAGCTGATACAGAAGCCATGTAGGGCTGCTGCCTTTTGGCTTGCTCCTCGTGACTTACTCGGTCTGCTTTCTTACAGCACCCAAGACCACCAGCCCAGAGTTGGAACCACCCACAGTGAGGTGGGGCCTTCCACATCAATCATTAATCAAATAAATGCCTCACAGGCTTGCCCACAAGCCAATCTGATGGGGGGTACTTTCTTAATTGACGTTCCCTCTTCCAACAATGACTCCAGCTTGCATCAACTTGGCATAGAAAGTAGCCAACATATATATGAATAAATTTTTATTCCTGTTCGGTAACTGTATTGGAGTATAGTTAGTAGCATAATAATGAGCCATTGGTTATATACTAGGTCGAACACTCTTCCATTTTGCAAATGAGTTTTCCATTTTGCATTTCCATCAGGACGTGAGAACTTTTACTCATTATGTACTCATCAACAGGAGGTTTGTCAGACTTTTCCATTTCAAACATTCTTTCATGACATAACATCTACTGGCATTTTATTATGCCTTTACTTTGTATTTTTATTACACGTAATACTATTTAACATATTTTTCTCATGCTCACTGGTCATTTCCCTATCTTTTCAACTAAGGTGCTTGCATACTTGTATTTGTTAACTATTCTGGAAACAAGCCCTTTGAAAAAATATGGGATCTGTAAATGTTGTCTTCCCAGTCTGTGGTTTTATTAGTTTTGAAAAACATTTCTTTCAGAAACAAGAAATTTAAAATTTTGATGATACCTAATTTGCAAAAGTATTTCACTGTTACAAAAAAAAAACAGAAGAATTTTTTGATATTTCCTTTAAGAAATTTGGGCGAGAAAGATGTCTCATTAGAAAAGTGTGTTTGCTGTGTACATATAGATACCTGTGTTCAGGTTAAATAGTAGCCTGGTCTGGCTGCACGTACCTCTAGTCCCAGAGATGTAGTGGGGACTGGAGCATGGGAGGTAGAGACAAAAGGGTTGCTGAGATTCACAGGCAAACCAGCTTGACTTGCCCTGCAAGCTCCATGCCCATAAGTAAGCCTGCCTCAATTTTTTTTCTTGTACTTTGTCAGTTTTTATTTCATATTTTCTAAGAGCTTTCTTATTAAGCAAATACACATTTGGAATTACATCTTCCTGATCATTTTTTATATGTCTCTGGTAATAACAATGTTCTGATGTCCGTTTTTTTATTAATAGGATCTCAGCAACATCTTATAGCTAATGTTTGCATATTGCATTGTCTTTGTCTTTTAATTGCAATCTGTTTTTACATTTAAAACAACTTTTATAGAGAGTGGATTACTCAGTCTTTCAAATACATAGTCTGACAATCCCAGCATTTTAAAAGAATGCTTAAACCACTAAAATAAAGTTGGTTTGGTTGGGCTTAGTGTTTTGTTGTTGTTGTTTAGGGATCTGTTTTGTTGTTGTTTTGAGAAAGGTCTAGCTTTGTAGCCCAGAATAACCTATGACTTATGATGTAAAACAAGCTACGCTCAAACTCTATAGCCTGCATCAGCCTCCATTGTGCTGGGATTATCCTGACCCACAGTCCCGGCTATTTGGGTTTAAAGCTAAGATTTTGCTTCATGATTCTAATTTGCTCCTCCTAATTATGGTATCGTTGTCTCTGATTCCCTTTGTGTTGAGAATTTAACTATCACCAGCTGGCTTATCTACTATGTATTTAATTTGATCTTGGTGTTGTTCGTGGCTGCTCCATGGCTTCTACTTTCTATTAAGACTGCAACATGTACTTTCCAATATTCTTCTTCACAGAAAATGTAGGAAGAGAATGTTTTCATTTCACCCTTCAATTTGCTGTGTAAATTTCATCCTCTAGTTTTTCTACATATTAAAAAATAAATTTTTTCTTTCACATTAAAATATCATCATATTTGCACTTTGCAACCGTTTTTCCTTCACATAGATCCAAATTTCCATCTACTGGTACTTGATCTTGTTCTGAAAACCTTTCTTTTTCTTAGTAAAAACATAATAGTGGTGGATTTTTTTCTTTGCCTGAGAAATTACTTGCATCATTTTCATTTTTAAAGTGTTCTTTCACTAGGTTCGGAATTCTAAATTTTATAAAGATTTATTTATTGTCTCTACATCTTCAGAATTTTATTCCATCTCCCCATCTACACTTCAGAGACCCTGCCTTTGGGTTCTGTGATTTCTGGTGAAAGTCTTATGTTAATTTTTGCCTTCTCAAAAGTTCTCTATGATCAGTAGGTGATTATTATTCTCAGTCAATTCACTTAAGTACTTAGCGTAGATATCCTCTATAAATGACTCAAATTTGCTTATATTTTTATGCACTATGGTCAGTGGTGAACATGAATGAATTATTTAGTCTGGATATTATGTTTTTGATTTCTTGGAGCCCCATTTGGTTTTTATTAGCATCCATGATTTTCCTCATGGTTCTCCATACTTTTAAGTCCATCATCCTCAGTAGTTCTAACATCTACAATTTCTGGGTAATGTTTCCAGACTGATATTTTTTTCTCCTGACTATTAATCATATGTGCATTCTTCTTTACCATCAAGTAATTTGGATTTTAATACTAGGTATTGTGATTTTGTATTATGAATATCTGGATTTTTTATTTTCTTTTAAAGGTTGCCAAAGTTTGGGACAATGGACTTGGCTTAGTATGTATAATGCTTGCCAAACTCAAGGACTGAGGTCAGACACGCTGGACTCATGTAAAAAGTCAGACATGGTTGCAGGTAACTAAAATTACAGTCCCTTTACTACAAGAGCTGAAGTAGAGACATGGAAGTTCATGGGCCAGCTACAATGGAATATAGGTAAAGAACAAGAGACTTTGTTTCAAACAAAGCCAAATACAATGACCAGCACTAAAGGTCACATATATGCTGTAGCATGCTAGTACTCAAACACAGAAACATGCAAACACATGCATATACATATCACACACACACAATCCAAGATTAAACAAAAATAAGCAATCATATTATTGGCAGATAAACTAGATTTCTTCAAGGTTTGTTTTTCAAATGTGCTGAAATACAGTGAACGTGTTTTTCTCCCCCCTGAGAGTCATGCAGTGTCCACCCTTATCATTCATCAGTAGCTCTGTGCTTAGGCCCATGTGACTTTGTCATATGCATGAATGCCTCAACCTTCAACAGTGAGATCATTAAAGAAACACCTCTGCAAGTCTGAAGCTTTTCTCCTCTGGTCCTCTGTGCTACAAATTCCAACTGCTTAAACTACCATAAACTTTTTTAGCCAGTGGGAGGGAATTCTGGAGATTAAACCCAGAGACTTGTGCATGCTAGGCACGTACTCTATCGCAGCTAGATCCTCGGTCTTCTTTTAATTCTTCATTTTGAGATGTGGTCTCTGTAAGTTGCCTGAGTTGCTTTTGAACTCTTTCTGTAACATTGATATACTTTGACTATATGATCGGTCTGCTCTTGCCTTCTTGAGTAGCTAGGATCACAGACCTCTGTCACCAGGTGGTTGGCCTGCTGTAAACTCCAACCTATTTCTCAAGTCAGGCAATGGCATATATTTTGGGGGTTCTTCTCACTGAGAAATTATCCACAAGGTCCTAACAGAAAGACACCACAAAATCACCCCCAACACCCAAGTATTTCTTTAAGATTTTCAAAGTAAGTATTTTCTTTTTCTCGTCTTAGTTGCAGTCTTGATAAGTACAATTTAGAAATAAAGTAAATATATACAAATATTTATAATATATGAGAAACCAAAGTTTGGTGTTGGAGAGAGGAAGGCAGAGTTAAGAGAAGCCATGGAGCCACCAGAGTCAGACATGCCGAAACGTTAGCCAGTAAGCCACAGTCATATGGTGATACACAGATTAATAGAAATGGGTTAAATTAAGATGTAAGAGTCATCCAATAAGAAGTTAGAGTTAATGGGCCAAGAAGTGATTTAATTAATATAGTTTCTGTGTGATTATTTCGGGTCTAAGCTAGACAGGTAGCCAGGACAAACAAGCCGCCCCTCCCTCAACAGTTTGGCATTTATTATATATATATATTCCTAAAATTTTAAAAGAAAAATGAGACAAAGAAAAAAGTGCAATAGCTATTATTCATCATGGTCAAATATGAAAATGTACATATGTTGCTCCAGGAGCTCCTCAGAGGCAACCAACCACCCAGACATGGTGTATAGCTGATTGAACGTCATTATTCCAGCTATCTGGGACCACACCTAAAATTTTGAAATTCTAGGTAGGGCCCCAAATATTCAGAACATGGGGTTTTGAAGACTAGCGACTTCACCCAGGCCTTTATTTCACTCAGCAGCTGGGGAGGGTACGTAAGTAGATTGAAGTAAGCAGTTTTTACAGAAGCCAGGATAAGCAGTTAGCCAGCTGGAGGGGAGGCGCCACAAAAACAGGCATCTGAGATAAGCGGTTCCTGGAGGAGGTTCCACACAAACAGGCAGTTTTAACTAAGGCTAAGATAAATAAGCTTGGGCATCCTAACCTTTGGTTTCTAGAATAGAGCTGGGTAGTTTTCCATGGGATTCTCCACCAAAGGGAACAGATTCTGGTTAAGTCTGGAATGGCCTCAGCAAGAATACAAGGTGGGGGAATGTCTGCACTGCCTTGCCCCATCACAATATAACGTCTTGATAAAGTACACCAGTTTCCCCCTCAAGAACTGTCATAGCCCTTGGAAATCTTATTAGTTATTGATGGAAGCATCTAATTCCCAACATTCTCACATATCATTTTCTTAGTCTACTAAGTTTTTGTTCATTTGACAGGAGGAATCGATCACGATTGTTTCAAGTTATACATCTTTAGTTACTATATGAACAGCTTTTTCAAGTATTTATAAGCTAAGTCCACCTTCTTTTGCCCCATTGCCTCCTTTCATGGATCAGTGCCCTGCAGGAACAAAGGAAAACATTTCAGGATAAGAGGGTTCAGAGAGAAGGTGAGTGAATAGATTTGGGGCAGTGGGCACAAAGAATTGTTTATCAGCAATCTTGACAGGGTCAAGTATTCGCTCATCTAATTGCCTGCTTGACTTTCCTTGACCCAACATCCTTAGTGCTTATTCTAATCTACACTCTTTCAGACTGGCTGTCATGGAGCCTTCCATTTCTCTAGCGTAACAACACTTTTCCTTTACTAGACCACCAGCTTCCAGTCTGGCTATGCTGGTATTTGGCATGTGCTGCCAGACACCAGTTACCCAGCAGGGAATTTGATCTAGACCCCGCTAGATCAAGAAATCCCCAATTGCTAATGGGAATGATGAACCGACTCTATAAAACTTTAGGTTTCTGGGGACCTGGTTCAGAAGTGTGTGTACATGGATTTTACCAGCCCCAATCTCAGGGTCGCCTGTCTATTCCTTTCCTTCTCTGAGCTTAATACAACACAATCTGCTGAAAGTAATTCAACCTTCTGTTCAGCCTTCCTGCTTCAATGATTAACTCAGCCTGCCCTTTGGTTCTGTCCTCTGGCTCTAGGACATTTAAAGGTTTCCTGGAATGCTCACAGGGGACAATCAAGCTTTTATTTTTTTCTCTTGACTCAGTGAACATTATACATGCCACCATGTCTTTAACCGTGCTCCGAAGAGGTAACCAATTCCATAGTTCTTATCCTTAAATTTCCTTCATACTCTTGAAATGCCTGAAATATTCTATTACCTGGTGTGTCCCCTTCCACCGATATGCTCTGCTGGTTCATTGCTGGTTTAAAAAAGATATTCTAATGATGGCAATTCCTTTGCATGCCAAGGATTACCGTCATTCCTCTTACGTGTTCTCAGAACCAAAAGCATCTGTGAGAGGTCCATCCACAAGATTCCATTCCAGAAACTGATTCCCAGGATTAGGCCTGTGACACTAGCTTGCATCCATTTTCTGGAAACAGAGGTGGGGAGGCTGCATGAAAGTCAGTGGGGACTATAGAAGACTTCTCTTGGAAGATACAGCTGAAAGACATGAGGAAGAATGATAGGGAGGCATCATATGGCTGACATTCAATATGGTTTCAGCTGAGACCTCAGACAATCTAAAGAGTATCAGGATGTCTCCCCAAGGAAGTCTTAAACTGAAATAAGGACTTGGAGGTTTTTAGATGCTGGACGTTGACTCTGAGCTACCTGTGGTAGAATAACCTTGGGAGAAGCAATTTTCTCTGCTCAAGGACAATATCCAGGCACAGGACAATTGTGAGCCTTTAAAAGCTGGAGTGCTGAGCAACTGAGGAATGGCCTCAACAAAGAAATCTACATGGAGAATTGTAGTGTGCCACACTTTTTCCCTAGAGCTCACTACTATCTACTACTCACTTAGATCGGAGTCCATATGGTTTTGTTTTGAAGTTCACTATTTTCAAGAGGACAGGCTAACAGATGGACCAAAGTGATGGATGGTCCCAGTTATTAAGCTACTTGCCTTTCCAAATGGTGCCTTTTCCATTATGTTCCTATCTCGATGGCACGACGGATCTGCCAAATCATTTCTCCAGACTTTTCTGTCAGCTTCCTGTGGCACTTTCCTCAGCCTCACTGGGCCCTTCAAAAATATGGTAGCATCCTGGCCATAAGCTCTCCTCAGGGGCTTGAACTCTACAGATGCCCTGTCAGCAAGCTTCATCAATACCCCCAACCTTTCTTCTACTTTCCCTAAGTTTCAGACAGAAGGGCTAGAAAACATCATTTTGAGTGAGGTAAGCCAGACCCAGAGAGACAATTATCACATGTATTCACATATAAGTGGTTTTTAAACATAAAGCAAAGAAAACCAGTCCACAAATCACAACCCCAGAGAACCTAGACAACAATGAGGACCCTAAAAGAGACATGCATGGATCTAATCTACATGGGAAGTAGATAGAAAAAGGAAAGATCTCCTGAGTAAATTGGGAGCATGGGGACCTTGAGAAGGGATTGAAGAAGAGGGGAGAGGCAGGTAGGGGAGCAGAGAAAAATGTAGAGCTCAATAAAAATAAAAAAAATACAGAAGAAATATTTCTTGTAGTCACTTTCCCTGAATTAGCTCCAGGTTCCCCTTCTGTTTGTGGATTTTGTTTTGGGTTTTGTTGTTGTTGTTGTTATTTTTTTTCTATTTTTCTGTAATCAATTACCTACCCTCAATAACCTCTAACCAACACCTACCGTGGCATCTGCTTTCTTGTCAGGCTGTGCCTGAAACAGTCATTTGATAAAAGAAAAGAAGGTGGCAAGTGATGGGTCTCATGATTGTAAAGGCTGAGAACCATATAAAGCGAGAAATGATCAAAGATCTGAAGACACAGCTTGCTGCACTGAGTTCTAGACACTTTCAGTAGCATCATTCCTGTGACGGGCTCATGTAGGGCCACCAAGTTGTAAGCGGAATGAAGGCAAACATTTGAATTGATTAAAGATTTGTTGAGTAGGTGGGTTTTAGAAGAGAAATGGCCAAGGTTATCAAGGACACTGGGAAAGAAGTTTAAGTCAAATCTCCCTAAACAGAGTTTAGAGAACACTAAGTTTTATTCCCAGAGAAGTGTAACTGCTTCAGCATATAAATAGAACTAGATAAGAAATTTGTTTTATACTAAGGCTTAGGAGGGATAAGACCACCCTACTCTTTCAAATTTGTCTCAAGTTTCAGTGATGTAATGGTAAATATTATCATATGATCACTATTTCATCAAATCTTTGCTAAGCAAAACTAGTTCATGGCTTTTGAGTCATCATTTGGAGTCTGTTTAGGCTACATTTAGTTAATAAAGAAATAAAATAGCTGAACTCTGCTTTGCCTTTTATATCTCATTCTGCTTGCCAAATCCTCCAGGCTTAGGGAGGGTCAGTTCAGCACAAATGACTCCTGACTTCTAGAGCAAGTGTTGATTCTGTAATCTGTTGTGTAACAAGACTCTGGAGAGCTACCTTGTCATTGCTCCCCAGGAGAGAAAATTGCCCTTCACTCTTACAAAATATGTTGAAGATAACTCATATTCTGAGGGTAGGTGGTTAGAGAATTTTTAAAAACATTCCTCCTCACAAGGTGACAGGCTCATCCAGCCACTATCAGCTACACCTGACATCCTTTAAAACCATCTAAACTACTTACATATGTAGGAAGCAGTCCCTTTAAGAGCTAGCCCAATTGTTCCTACTCTAACACAAGTCCTGGTACCTCTGAGAGGGCCCGCTCTATTCCAGCCATCCTGGGCTCTTCCTTTGACATCCTTTGTCACTTCTGAACACAGCTGGAGCCGGAGTTGTTTCTGGAGGTTGCTACTCATGCAAACCAATCTTCGATGTGAAAGCGATTTTGGTTGTTGTTGTTTCCCCAGCAAGTTGCTTTGTTGGCGTTAGTACAGAACTTTAATCGTTTAGAGACAGTTCTATTTGGCTGTTGCAATTCTGGTTGGAATGAAGCAAACTATATTCAAATAAAACCAAAAGGAAAACATTCCATTTGGGATTGGGCTCTATCCTGAATCTCTCTCTCTCTCCCCCTCCGAGTGTTTCAGGCCACTGTTTTCTGGAGCTTGGATGATGCGGGGAAGATCTGGAGAATAGAGAGAGCCTCTTGTCCCCACACCTTGGGCTGCTTGAACAGTGTAAGAGTACATATGTCCTGTAAACCAGATTTTCTAGGCAAAAGGTACTGGGAGCTTGGTTTGTAAAGGGACTTGGGCTGGGATGAATAATTAACCCGGGTGTTTGTCTTATTCATTACTGTATAACAAACCACCCCAAAAACTAATGACTAAAACAACCACCATCTATCAGTCTGCTGCTCTGCAATCCGAGGCCTTCACCGGGGTAGTGTTTGGCAAGTTTTATCTGTACTTTCTGTCTCTTGTGTGTCTGTAGTTATTTGGGGAACAGATTGGGACTAGGAAATTCAAGACATTCACTGTTAGTCATGTCTATATGTCCATAGATTATAACTGCTCATTCTCCCCATACTTACTCTTCTCGAGCACCGTTAGGGGAACCGTTTCACCTGGGGATAATTCTGTTATGTGCTCTTACAGCCCACATGTACCGACCCCCAACCTCCCACATTACAGGCCAGCCTCGGGGCCTTCACCTCCTCACCTGACTTCTGCCTCTGTCCCAGCCCCCAGCTAACAAAAAGTGGGTGACAATGACTGGGAAGCAAATCCTGCTCGTATGTGGTTTTATCCCACATGGCACCTGCAGCTGAGTAAGAGATCAATATTATCTGTTGAGGAAGTGTGACGTGATAGCCAAATTGGGAATTGGGGGGAAAAAACTTAAATCCACCACTGTGGAATTTCCACAAACAAATAACAGAGGTTGAGTAAAGGGAAGGGAAGTCCAGGGCTTCAGATGATGAGTCACCGTAATGAGGTAATGGCAGTGTTTGATAAAAATCTGCTATTTTATGAGCACATTTGATTGAGGTAGGTTTTTCTCAAGAAGCCTAGGAACACAGTCAAAAATCAGTTAATATAGAAGTAGGAAACAATAATATTAGTGTTTTCACCATTTCTGAATATATGAAACACCTAACAAAATCACTTAGGAGAAAGATTATTTTCCTTATCTCAATTTATTCTAAATACTTGTGTGATTGCAAGCTAGTCTCCAAATTCTTATTTCCTGAATATCATGCTGTATACACCAAAGAATAGGAAAATGAATGCAAATAGAAAGTACGTGAGAGAACTCAGGGAGAGTTTGGCGGGAATAGCCGTCACCAAATGGATTAAGGGAACCTGATTAGGGCAAAGAAGTATTTAAATAAGGTGCCCTGACAGCCAATACCTTTCATGACACCTCGGAGCCCAGATAGCCCATTAGAGTTGCCCCAAATTCAGCAAAGGTCCAGGCCTTTGGCTCCACTGACAAGTCTCTGGAAGGGCGCTCACCCCAGCGAGGAAGTACGGGAAAGGACTCTGAATCTCTTTTCTTTGAAGGAGGGAAATTTCTGGACAAGGGCTTCACTCTGGGCAATCAGCCAAGACAGCAAGCAGCTGGAAATGAGTCCATAGGACTGACGGCAGGAGCAGGCTGGCATCCCGCGCCATCGTGAACACCTGTCTCTAGGAAAAGACTAAGTTTGAGCTTCTGCTTGACAATTTGAGGGCAGGGGGATTTAAATCTCCATTTTGAGAAATGCACAAAACCACACGTTTTGAGGTGATTTATACATTGTGTGAGAATATAACAGTGTGGCTGGTTTAATAAAGAGCTAAACGGCCAAAAGCTAGGCAGGAGATATAGGCCAAACTTCCAGGCAGAGGAAAGGGAAGTAGGAAACAAATCTAGGCACATGACAGAAACACCAGGAGACACAGAAGAAGCAGGATGGATGTAGATGGCAGAATGCAGATGAATAGAAATGGGTTAATTTAAGTTATAAGAGCTAGATTTAAAAAAAAAGCCTAAACTAAGACCAAGCATTCATAATTCATAAGTCATTATTTGAGAGTTAGCTGGTGAGACAGAGAAAGACTCATCACTCATCATGGACAGTGATGTATTTCTTCAGCTCTTCCTACAGAAATCTGCCTTCTGCTTCTAGGAGTAAGTAGAAAAGCCCTTTGAAAAGGCTTGGGTAGTGTCATTTGCTAAGAATAAACAAATCCAGCTTCAGACCTTAAGATCTGTTCAAGAAACAGGAGTTAAAGTTCTCTACTGAAATTGCTCTCCATTTCTATTTCAGAAAGCAACAGCAGAGTCAGATTGTCATCCAACTGTCATTTTGTTATTGGTACAGCTAGACGGAAGAACGTGGCAGAGAGTCAAGAATCTCCTCCTCTAGCCTGGCACTGAATTGTCGCGCAGTCACTGAAATAAAGATCAGCCGGGCGGCTCAGATCACTCTCCAGGTCTACCCCCAGCAGCTCCCGTCATCCTGTACCCCTAAAGGGGGATTGCTGTGCTTATTCATTTGACCTCTGCTAAAAGAAAGAGAATTGTCTACACAATTTACAAAGGGATGATATGAAGGCACCTTGGAGACAAGAGAATCCAAGATGGTGAAATAGAGGTACCCAGCTACCACTTTCTCCACAAAGAACTGTTTGAAAAACGTGAGCGATCACCTTTGAAGGTGATGGCTGAGGGAGTGTGCTGGAGCTCAGAAATGAGAATGGAAATCCTGTAAGGTGCACAGACCCGGCAGGGCAAGCAGAACACTGACTCCCCGGTCTCAGGTCAGGGGGACTGTGGACTATGGATCTCAGATAAAGAGCAAATGGAAGAGTCCTCAAATCTCAAATCTCATTGCTGTAGATGGCAGAAATCCTAGACACAGGAGAGTTTCACAACTGACACAGGCGTGGAGCCAAATGGAAGGAGCTGCCTAAAGTCCTCCAAGTAGCTTTGCTTCAGAGGAGTTCAGAAGGAGGTTAACCCTTTCTAAGCTCCAGGGTGTGGGCTGGAGTATAATGCTACCTTGAAATTAGAACCCTTACACTACTACCATGAGGGGTAGAAGCATCTCTCTCTCTCTCTCTCTCTCTCTCTCTCTCTCTCTCTCTCTCTCTCTCTCCTCAAACAAGTAGACTTATTCCCATGTTTCATACCCTTAGCATCAACACTCCCTTTGAAGCCTCTACAGCCTATACCTCAGCATTGTCTCTATTACTACCAAAATTCAAGCCTGCCCAAAGTTCTCGAAATCATTCACTTCTGGGAGTCTACATCCAATGCAAAACTCACATACTATACTGGAACACCTAGTTACTGGTGATGTTGCCAACATCTAGTGAATTCACACAGATATTGCTCCTTTGGGCTTCCTTGTAACCAAGACCAGTGTACCCCAACCAACTAACATCCTACCACCCATCACAGAAAAACAGCTCTCCTGATGAAAGTTGCCCTATAAAATTAGAACAGGTAAGGGCTGTATAATGACAAATTCAACAAAGAAATATAGATCATGAAAAATAATTCATCAAAATCTTTGGGCTGAAAAATTCAATCCCTGAGAAAAAATACAGCTGAGAGTTTCAACAACAGACTTGATGGAACAGGAGAAATAATTTATGAAATTTAAGACGTCTTTTGAAAAAGTAATCAAAAAAGAAGAAATGAATAAAAGAAGGTTCAGAGAAGAGGGACAGAAGGAAATGAAAAGAAAATAATTAGCAAAGTCTATGAGAATGATAGAACAATCAAGGAAATAATTATGAATATTCCAGAAGGATTATTCAAGATAAAGGACAAAAATTCATTCAACAAGCTAAATGCAGAAAACCAAATTATTGGAAAGAAACTGGTGGCCAGATAGTTCTAGGGGTCTCGAATTACTTGTAAAAGCCCAAATGTAAAATGCACTATAGTCTCATGCATTCAAACCAATGGTTCTAATGTTCCTAATGCTGTGACCCTTTAGTACAGTTCCTCATGTTGTAGTGATACCCCACCAAATTATTGCTAGTTGATAACTGTAATTTTGCTACTGTTATGAATTATAAAGTAAATGTCTCTATTTTCTGATGTACTTAGGCGACCCCTGTGACAAGATCATCTGACCCTCAAAGGAGTTTCTACCCACAGGATCAGAACCACTGATTTAAACATTTTGTCTCTCACTGGAATTATTTTGGGAAATTGTGCAAGCAGCTTCTTGTTCCTGCCACCATGTCCTTAGTGACAGCTAAATCATCTTCCCTACCATGGTGGACTATATCCTCTGTGACTATAAACCACAGCCACCCCTGTATCCCTTAAGTTGCTTTAATCAGGATATCTTATGCCACAGCAAGACAGTAAGTAAAACACTGGATTAGTTTAATTTATGATCCATGTTAGCTGTGCAGGGCCCATTCACTTGACAGGAATCCTGTGCTGTTTGAAATGGAGAAAGGGGACTGAGGACTGTCACCATCACCCTGCATCTTAACTGCAGATGTCACATGACTAGCTGCCTCAGCTTCTGTCTCTGTCACCTCCCCGAATGATAGAGCAGAAGGCTGGCTCGTCACACGGCATTTACACTCAGGAAACAGAGAGAGAAACATGAAGTGAGGTGAGGCTGTAAAGCTGCAAGGCCTGTCCCAAGTGACAAACTTCCCCCAGCCATGCTTGAGGTTCTACAACCTTCCCAAACAGTGCCACCAATTGAGGGTCATGTGTGCAAACAAATGAGCCCATGGGGGACATTCACATTCAAATCCGGCATCTGGATAATTCCTCACAGACACGCCTGGAGGCCCATGTCCCAACTGATTCTAAAGGCTGTTGAGTTGACATTTAACACGAATCACCATATATACAATGGTGAATTTGTGGAAAAAATGCTGAAAATAACAAATGTTCCACCTCCTTCAAGAGAATCACCATTAAGCTAATAGGAGATTTCTCAGTAGCAAACTTGCCGATTAGAAAAAAATGGAAAGGCATATTCGGATTTGTGAAAGAATAAAGGTGCTGATTAAGAATAACATGTGCCTGAAAGAGAGAGTTATACTTAAAAAGTGTTCAGAAAAAAAGGATAATGCTTTCTAAAATATATAAAGCAGAGAAGGCATTGCCCAGTTGTACATAGAGAAAACTTTTTAAAAGAGTCTTACACGACAGTAGCTACCATCATAACACACAAATGTAGTGAGGAGGCAAGCAGGCCTGCTTTTCATCCCACTCGGCTCCC